AAAAAAAAAAAAAAAAAAAAAAAAAAAAAGAAAATGACAGTAAAGCTCATGAATGAAAGGGAAGAAAAACACCAAGAGATAAATAAATGAGAGTGACGGAAAGAAAAGAACGCTGTCTGGCTGTTACGGCAAAAACATCTTTTTGTTTCTCAACTGCTTGCTGTTAACTCTAAGTACCAATTTTCAGTGGGATCCAACAATGTAATAATCCCTCAGCTGACTCGAAACCTCGTTTTAGGATGGGCATGGTGGCTCAGGCCTATAATCCCAGCACTTTGGGAGGCAGAGGTTGGTGGATGACTTGAAGTCAGGAATTTGAGACCACATGGTGAAACCCCATCTCTTCTAAAAATACAAAACTTAGCCGGGTGTGGTAGCACACGCCTGTATTCCCAGCTACTTGGGAGGCTGAGGCAGGAGAATTGCTTGAACCCGTGAGGCGGAGGTTGCAGTGAGCCAAGGCCACATTACTGCACTCCAGCCTGGGCGACAGAGGGACACTTCAAATCAAAAAAAAAAACAAAACAAAACCCTTATTTTAAATCCTTCAACTTTTCAACAAACAACGTTCTAAATTTAGTATGCATTATTGTCAAAGAAGATCAATTTGGCTTTCCATTTTACTCTGAATAAAATTAAATTTAAAACATCCCTGCCACTGCATGTAAGACCTCTGTGGTGTGCCCTCCTGGCTCTCTAACTTCAGACGCTGCCCTGTGCTTGCTGCACTGTAGCCCCCTGGGCCTTCCCTTCAGATGCCTGATGGTCCCTGACTAGGCACAGTTCACAGGATCTCTCCCCACTCCCTACCTTCAGACCTCCTTGGCACTCAGCATTTTGTGATCATTTACTGGTTCACTGCTGAACAGCTCTGTCATTAGCGTGAAAGCTCTGTGACTAACAAGGACTGCCTTTCTTTCTACATAATGCGCAGCACACAACAGTGACTCCGTTTCACAGTATATTCATCTTCTATGATACTTTCAGGTTTTTAGACTGCCCTGCATGGTGTGAGGACTGGGAACAGAGAAGACTGAACAGCCAGCTGGGTGTGGCGGCTCACACCTGTAATCCCAGCACTTTGGGAGGCCGAGGGAGGTGGATCACCTGAGGCCAGGAGTTCAAGATCAGCCTGGCCAGCATAATAAAATCTCATCTCTACTAAAATTACAAAAAATCAGCTGGGCGTGGTGGCGGCTGTAATCCCAACTACTCAAGAGGCTGAGGCAGGAGACTCGCTTGAACCTGGGAGGTAGAGGTTGCAGTGAGCTGGGATTGTACCCACTGTACTCCAGCCTGAGCAACAGGGCACAGAGTAAGACTTTGTCTCAAAAACAAACAAAAAAACCCAAAGACTGAATGGCTATTTTCTATCCTTTCACAATGAAGAAAAGAGATGAGAAGACAGAGGAAATAATATTAAAGAAAAAAAGTTAGGTTCTTATACCCATTTCCTCTTTCTCTTCTATCCTGCCTCTTCTCCCCTCCCACTTATTTTATTAAGTCTTGGATAAGGTAGGCTATGTGTTAGAATGGAGATAGGGATATTTAGGAGTATATTAAGAACTATCTGCAGAATTACTCTAGAGTCTTGAGTAGATTTAGAGCCGAAGTATGGCCCTAAATATGGACAATCATGTATTTCCAACGATTTTTCACATAAACTCAGCCATCAGGCTAAATCAAATTAAAACCATGTCACAGCGGGCCTGGCACAGTGGCTCACACCTATAATCCCAGCAATTTGAGAGGCCAAGGTGGGTGGATCATTTGAGGTTAGGAGTTCGAGACCAACCTGGCCAACATGGTGAAACGCCATCTCTACTAAAAATAGAAAAATTAACCAGGTGTGGTGGCACACATTTGCAATCTCAGCTACTTGGGAGGCTGAGGCAGGAGAATCTCTCGAACCTGGGAGGTGGGAGGTGGAAGCAGTAGTGAACTGAGATTGTGCCACTGCACTCTGGCCTGAGCAGAGAGAGACTCTGTCTCAAAACAAACAAACAAACAAACAAAAAAACACACATCACAGCTTTCTAGCTAGGAGGTGCTAAGTAGAAGTCAAAGTCAACAGGAGAGTATCGGTTGAAGGAGGGGGGCCAACCATGGAGGACCAATTTCTGATTGAATTCTACTGACCACAACTGCACAGGGAGTTTTAAAGACAGAACCTGAGGCATAAAAATGAACCTATTTAGGCTGGGCGCAGTGGCTCATGCCTGTAATCCCAGCACTTTGGGAGGCTGAGGTGGGTGGATGACCTAAGGGCAAGAGTTCAAGATCAGCCTGGCCAACATGGTGAAATCCTGTCTCTACTAAAAATACAAAAATTAGTTGGGCGTGGTGGCAGGTGCCTGTAATCCCAGCTACTCCAAAGGCTGAGGCAGGAGAATCCTTTGAACCCAAGAGATGGAGGTTGCAGTGAGCCAAGATCGTGCCATTGCACTCCAGTCTGGGCAACAGAGCGAAACTTCATCTCAAAAAAATAAAAACAAACAAACAAACAAACAAACAAACCTATTTAGAGGGGCTCCAGCTCTGCTTCAGGGAACTGTATGTAGCTAGATCACTACTCCTTAGTCCATATATGATAATTTTTCCACTTTTCATTCATCTAATAAATAGTGAAATGATTTAATTTTCCTTAGGTTTGAATGTATGCAGTCCATAAACTGTACCTCCATGATTTCATCCAATGCAGATTTCTTTTTTTTCTTTTCTTTGGACTGAGCTGAGCCCTGAGAAGATTCTTTTCTTTTCACTGATGCTGAACTTCCTATAGTCTTCAGTGCGCTTGGTCCCAGAGTACTGGTGAACAGGAGAATTATGCTTGTTAACAAGAACCATACACAGACGAATGTCCTATGATGTGCAGAATTCACAATGTAGAATAAGTGTGTTACAAGATGAATTTACAGGAGATCGGTGAAAACCATGGAGTACCTGTCCACGTCTCTTACAGAACTATCAGCACTGTGTGAGCATTTAACCTGTGCTATCTTTACCTCTCTGGACCTTCTCCTCACGCCTGCAGTCAGTGATACTATACTTTGTATAGTAGAATGATGGTAGGTAGCTGGGTGATATTTTGTTTTACTTAGTACTTGACATGTTTTTTTTTTTTTAGATCTAAGTTTTTTCGCTGATTCAGCCTATCTCCTTCCATACTCCTAGCCATTTATTCAGTAGTGTAAATAAACAATGACCTATAAACAAATCCAGAAAACTTAGATCTTAAAAAAAAAAAAAAAAAAAATGTCAAGTACTAAGTAAAACAGAAAATATCACCCAGCTTAAAAGCAAGTTCCAGTAGATACTGGTACTTGAGTATTTTGTCTTACTCATCTTTTTTAACCTCCCAAACAAAACTGAATGCATTGCATGCCAGAAATACTGAATAAAGATTTGGTGAAACATATAAAACTTGCAAGAGAAGATAACATAGAAATTGGATAGAACTACCTGACTATATAATATGCCAGGTTTTGGCAAACGATAGACTAAGGGCCAAATGCCAGCTGCCACCTGCCACCAGCGTTTGTAAATAAGTTTACAGGAACTCAGCCACGCTCAATTCCTTTATGCACTGTGCACAGCTACTTTCTTGCTAAGACAGCCAAGTTCAGTTATTGTGACAAACACATCTGCCCAAAACAGCCTAAACTATTTACTATATGGCTTTTTACAGAAAAAGTTTGCTGACCCCTCAAAAAACTCACAATGCAGCAAGTAAAAGGAAAATGCATACCCAGCTAACATTTAAACTCTGACAAGTGAGCTAAGATAGGAAAAGAAACAGTTTTATTGAGCACACAAAGAACCATTAAATGGAGAAGGATTCATGGAGAATCGAAAATTTATTTATGTAAAACACATCAAATTGAGGCTTTCCTCAAAAGACGGAATCATCTCACGACAGGCAAATAGGAAAAGAACAGTTGCTAGCTGGGCGCAGTAAGGTATGGCTGTAATCCCAGATATTGATAACTGGGAGGCTAAGGCAGGAAGATCACCTTGAGCCCAGGAGTTCAAGTCCAGCCTAGGCAACACAGCAAGACCCCATCTCTTTAAAAAAAAAAAAAAAAAGAACAATTGCTAAAGAACAACAAAACCAACAAAAACTAAAAAAAGGTGAAAACTACAACTGAAAAAAAAATGACTCACAATACTTTAAAATGCAGTAACCAACATTTCACAAAAATCAAAGTTTTAAGGTACCTGTGAATGATGCAGCTCACCTTGACTTGGAAGACGTTGCTCCGGATGAACATGCTCCTTTACTCAAATTAAACGTGACTAGAAGAAAAAAATGTTATTCCATGCATACATTTCGGGAAAATCATAATAAAGCTTATCAGATAAGATACTACAAAGTATTCACGAGGAACTCAAGCACATTTTCAATAAACATGAGCTAAAATGTTCCTATGTGGAGATCACACATTTCTGTAAAGTGTCCCCAGCTGACACCCACAGAATGGGAGGAACCTTGCACGCCATGTCACTGTGGCAGACCTCACAGGCTGCTTCCTCACTCCATCCCCTTCTCCTGGGGAACAGTACTCCAATTTTGCTTAGGTCTCCACATCTCTTGCCTGTGGCTCAGGAGACATAACACCATCCTCATCTCTGGGGTAAATTCTGATTGTCTAAAGCAATCAACATAATCCCGGTGACTGTTTTTTGGGTGGGCATGTGACACAGTTCTGGCCAATGACATTTGAAAGGAAATCTATTAAAGGGAGCAGGTCTTCTTGGAAAAGTATCCTTGCTCCTAACAGGACTCTGGAAGAGCATCCAGAGATGCTGTCTGCCATCCTCTCGACAATACAGAATCTGAATGTGATGGCTGGAGTGCTGGCAGCTCCCTTCAATAACATGACATGCAGGGATTCTTGTTATGGCAAGATATTTCTGAATTGTTTAACTGTAGTCAATTTTGTTACTTGTAGCTACAGCTATCCTATCCAATTCATTAGTATTACCTTTTCATTAAATCAATAAGAACGATGTAACTCAGACTGATTAAGTCTCTTGCTCCCAGATATATTGACAGGTTGAGTTTTTAACAAAGCCTGTATAAAAGCATCTATGTTTAAAAAAATAAAAGGAAAAACAAAGCTACCTTTCTCTTCATCGTTTTCTCTGCTTAATTCCGTAAAAGTGGGGACCTCCTAAGAAAAAGAAAGAGTTTGAAGGTTTTGGTGTACAGTGCATTTCCCATCACCATTCAACAGGCCTAAATTATGACTTGCAACCTGGGCTGCCAAGGAGCTCTAATATGCAAGTGATTAAGATCCTAATTAAGAAATTACATGCTTTTGGCTGGGTGTGGTGGCTCACACCTGTAATCCCAGCACTTTGGGAGGTCGAAGTGAGGGAAATCGCCAGAGGTCAGGTGTTCAAGATCAGCCTGGCCAACTTGGCGAAACCCCGTCTCTACTAAAAATACCAAAATTAGCCAGGCATGCTGGCGGGCACCTATAATCCCAGCTACTCAGAAGGCTGAGGCAGGAGAATCTCTTGAACCTGGGAGATGGAGGTTGCAATGAGCCGAGATCATGCCACTGCACCCTCCAGTTTGTGACAGAGCAAGACTCTGTGTCAAAAAAAAAAAAAAAAAAAGAAAAGAAAAGAAACTACATGCTTTGGCTGGGTATGGTGGCTCATGTTTGTAATCCCAGCAGTTTGGGAGGCTGAGCTGAGGCAAGAGGAATGCCTGAGACCAGGAGTTCAAGACCAGCCTGGGCAACATAGCAAGAACCCAATCGCTGTTAAAAAATAATAATAATAATTAAGTAAATTAGCCAAGCATGGTGGTGCACACCTGTAGTTCCACCTACTCGGGAGGCTGAGGCAAGAGGATCACTTGAGCACCAGAGGTCAAGCCCACAGTGAGCTGCAATCACGCCACTGCCTTCCGGCCTGGTGACAGAGCAAGACAGTCTCTCAAAAAAAAAAAAAAAGAAAATTAGGCCGGGTGTGGTGGCTCACGCCTGTAATCTCAGCACTTTGGGAGACCACGGCAGGCGGATCACCTGAGGTCAGGAGTTCAAGACCAGCCTGGCCAACATGGTGAAACCCTGTCTTAAAAAAATAAAAATAAAAAAATAGAAAAAAAATTAGAACTTACACGCTTTGCAAATATTATCCAATTGAGAATTATTCTAAATACCAAAAAGTAGCTTTTCTGTACCAAACTGCAGAAGTTTACCTACATTTTTATTTCTATTACAACTTAAACAGGAAATAAAAATATAAGGCAATAAGCTTTAGGAAAAGCAAAAGCTTTTTTCATTTTTTTTTGTGCGTGTTCAAGAACGACTAACCTAATGAATAATCACCAGTGGTATACTGGAACAACAGTTACTTCCGGGAGATGAGAGTATTAACTGGCAATGACCATGAGGAAACCCTCTCGGATACTGGAAACACTCTGTATCTTCATCTGGGTGATGGTTCCACTGTCATCTGTCACTCTTTCTACACATGCATATTTGTAAAATTCATTGAACTATACGCATAAGATTAATGCACCTTATACACTTTAATCAATGTATGTTAGAGCTCAATAGTAACCGCTCAAAAAGCACTCCACAGCTAGTAGTTTCACAAACACACCAGGTTGTATTTGCCTGCTCACACACAACTGTTAGAATGTAAGCCACAGGAGGCCAGGTGCAGTGGCTCACGCCTGTAATCCCAGCGTTTTGGGAGGCCAAGGAGGGCAGATTACTTGAGGTCAGGAGTTGGAGACCAATCTGACCAACATGGCAAAACCCGGTCTCTACTAAAAATAAAAAAAAAAAATTAGCCAGGCATGGTGGCTTGTGCCTAGAATCCCAGCTACTTGGGAGGCTGAGACATGAGTATCACTTGAACATGGGAGGCTGAGTTTGCGGTGAGCCGAGATTGTACCACTGCACTCCAGCCTGGGCAACAGAGTGAGACTCCGTCTCAAAAAAAAAAAAAAAGAATGTAAGCCACAGGAGAGTTTTTTAATCTTTTGTTCACTGAGTATTCCCTGCACCTAGAAGAGGCCTGGCACAGAGGAGGTGCTGATGAATATGTGTTCAAATAAATGCCTCAGCCCCTTCCCTCTCCCATTCACCTGGCTTGCACTCACTGATTCTTCAAGGCTCCTCGGCACTGGGGCCGTATCCACCCTCAAATATTCTCTGTCCTCCCCAGGCTGGAGTTAACATTGCTTCTCTACGTTGCCACACAGTGTTTACCTCCAGTACTGAATTAATTATAATCAGTGGAAATTATCTGTGTAAATGTCTTCCCATTAGGTGGTGTCTCTATTTAGATATAAGGAAATTGAGCTTCAGAAAGATTATGTAATTATACAAGATCATGAAGTTAGTAAGTCAGGAACTAAACCGAGGTTTGTCAATGCCAAAAACTGTGCTTTTGACACCAGGCTGGTTCTCCTCTTCGTTAAGGAACTCAATTCAATGTTAAAAACACAAGCCATTGTGCTTCTTTAGACCCTTGGACATGGCCTTTCAGGCTGATGTTGCTTGCCCACCTGTTCCTTCCCTTCCAGACCTCTCCTCACTTGTTCTTCAATAAATTTGGCAGTTTTTTCTTCATCATCAAGGTCCTGCTTTTTCTTTTTCTCCAGTTCCAGCTGCCGGCGGATAGTTTCTGGGTCCCTGTCTATGTACTGAATATACCAGCCTTTTGGCGTCTCGTCCACTTTGCACAAGCCTTAAAAACACAGCAGCCACCATAAATTAGCATACAATCAAAGCGAAACATAAATATAAATGTCTTTCATATCTGCATATTTATTCATTCAAACACACTCAAATCAGGCTGAGTGCAGTGGCTCCAACCTGTAATCTCAGCCCTTTGGGAGGCCAACGCGGGTGGATCCCCTGAGGTTAGGACTTTGAGACCAGCCGGGCCAACATGATGAAACTCTGTCTCTACTAAAAATACAAAAATTATCTGGGCGCGGTGGTGCACACCTATAATCGCAGCTACTCAGGAGGCTGAGGCAGGAGAACTGCTTGATCCCAGGAGGCAGAGGTTGCAGTGAGATGAGATCACGCCACTGCACTCTAGCCTGGGGAACAGAACGAGACTCAGTCTCAAAAACAAAACAAAACACCAGATACACTCAAATACATTCAAATACAAAAATTCATGCAGTGTATGGAATTTTCCATATTTACACTTAATGAAATTAAGATACTGTATGTGGATTCAACCGAGGATCAGAATATTCAAAAAAAGAAAAATGGATGGTCACATCTGCACTGAACATGCACTGACATTTCTTCCTTGCCATTTTTTCCTAACGATAGAGTATAAAAACTATTTACATAGCATTTACATTGTATTAAATATTATAAGAAATCTGGAGATGATTTAAAGTATGCAGGAGGATGTACACAGGCTAAATGCAATTACTACATCATTTTATTTTATTTTTGTTTGTTTGTTTTGAGATGGAATCTCACTCTGTTGCCAGGCTGCAGCGCAGTGGCGCAGGGTGTGCTCACTGCAACCTCCACCTCCCGGGTTCAAGCGATTATCTTGCCTCAGCCTCCCAAGTAGCTGGGACTTCTGGTGCGCACCACCACGGCTGGCTAATTTTTGTATTTTTAGTAGAGACGGGGTTTCACCATGTTGGCCAGGATGGTCTCGATCTCTTGACCTTGCGATCCGCCTGCCTCAGCCTCCCAAAGTGCTGGGATTACAGGCGTACACCCCTGTGCCTGGCCCATCATTTTATTTTATATAATGGACTTGAGTATCTGTGGATTTTGGTACCAGCAGGGGGTCCTGGACCCAACACCCCAGGGATATGGAGGGACAACTGTATTATCTTGTGTAATATTTATTCAATTCTATCTAAGTAGTTAATATCCAGTGGTTATATGATGTTTTATTAAGTTAATACAGAAATTATGCTCCCAAAATGGAATCAAGTAACACGACAAATAAAACATTGACCCAATTTGTTTTCTCTTTTCTTTTTCCAACCGTCTCATCCTATGAAGATTAGAAATGGGAAAGAAAAAGCAACTTTAAAATCTCATTCGTACCTTCTCTGCCCAGCCACTTGGTAAAATCGGTCAGAGTTTCCCACTGAGTGGCATTCATGTGGATGTGTTCTCGGTGGCTGATGTATTCATTGTAGACAATGTTGTTGTGGACCCTTTTAGTGCCTGAGAACAAAATATGACACTGATGATCCTGAGAAGATTATGTGATTTATAAAGTTATCATTTGCACAACACTTAAAATCTTTACCAAAGCGTCTCCTGAGAAGTTCTAGGAAGTCATTTCGGAATTCCCTAATAAAGAAAGAAAGGAAAACATTAAGGTAACTTCTACAAACATATAGCATCATCTTTGCAATAGTATAGTTTTTTGCTTTCGTTTTTATTTTTGAGATAGAGTCTCATTCTTGTCACCCAGACTGGAGAGTGATGGTGCGATCTCTGCTCTCTGCAACCTTCGCTTCCCGGGTTCAAGCAATTCTCTTGCCTCAGCCTCCCAAGTAGTTGGGATTACAGGTGCCCACCACCATATCTGGCTAATATTTTTTGTGTTTTTAGTAGAGACAGGGTTTCACCATCTTGGCCAGGCTGGTCTTGAACTCCTGACCTCCTGATCCACCCACCTCAGCCTCCCAAAGTGCTGAGATTACAAGCATGAGCCACCGCGCCTGGCTTTTTAGTGCCATTTTACAGATGAGGAAAATAAACCACAGAAAAACTTAAGTAGGTCATCCAAAGACATACAGTTTTTAAGTGGAGAAAGATTTGAGTTTGGGCAGTCTGAATGCAGAGCCTATGTTCTTTGTCACAATTGTGTTAGAATGAAAGACAGTTTCCCATATTTGAAGTGGAAGAAAGGAAAAACTAAGTTGTGAGAAATAATTTTGTAAGAGTTTTATACTATGATTAACCTTCAAAAGAAGATAAAAATTGAGCAAAGAGAGAATACACTTCTGTTAACATATAAGAAATCATAGAACCTCCAATATTTGAAATATTAGCCATCTATTAAATGTTCAACTGAATAAAGCTTATAAGATAAAGAGTTCTTTGAGTTACTTACTCTGAAAAATAATCCATGAACTGCTGAGGATTTTCTGAAGCCAGCAATAGTTGTCTCTGATGAGATTCGGACATACAATGACACTTAAAGCCATTCTACAAAAAATGTAAAAGTAATAAATTCTGATTTAGATCATCAAAATGGGCTCTAAATAGAAGTATTTAGTTCAAACCCAAAAAAATCTGCTCTTTGATGATAAATTAAAAAATAATCAAATCACTAGCTGTAACTACCCTATCAGGTTTTTCAAAAAATTTTTTACGGAGTTGAGCTTTGCAACTCTGCTAATCAAAGAATAATCCTTGAGATCAAAGAGACAGCAAAAGAGCACTGTAGAAAACAGACATTAATAAGAAACATACCAGGCACAGAAACAGAAACAGAAGAAAGATTCCATTTTTAGACTCAAGTTAACCAACTCTTATGGAGCACTACTTTATACAAAGTGTCAGACAAGTGTTTAAAGCAGTAAAATGGGTCATTAGTGAATTTCCCTCACAGAAACTACTTTCACTCACTTTCTTCTACTTCAGCTCACTATCCAAAATACATTGCTGCATATTCTATTAGCCTTGTTAAACGTATTAAATCTGTAGCTTCTTAAAATGACTGGAAAAAAACATACAAGTTTTCATTTAGTATCTACCTCTCCTTAATATTTGAACCTCATTCTTCACTAGTAATAGAAACAAAAGATGTGCCTTTCTTGTATTCCCTATCTCTATTTTAAGCACGCTCACTCAGGCCAGGAAACCAGAAAACATCCTAGATTCCTTCTTCTCCTTCTACCTTCAATTTAATAGGAAGTCTGTTCGGCCTCTTAACAACCCATATCCAGTCCCTCTGTTCAATCTCACTGACACTGTCCAGATTTCCACGCTCGAATTTGCTCAAGCAGTTTCCTAATCTTTAGACCGTGGACATCTTACATAATTTTTGCCTCTTGTGTATATTACCTATAAGAATCACAGTTATTAGGCCGGGCGCGGTGGCTCACGCCTGTAATCCCAGCACTTTGGGAGGCCGAGGTGGGTGGATCACGAGGTCAAGAGATCGAGACCATCCTGGTCAACATGGTGAAACCCCGTCTCTACTAAAAATACAAAAAATCAGCTGGGCATGGTGGCGCGTGCCTGTAATCCCAGCTACTCAGGAGGCTGAGGCAGGAGAATTGCCTGAACCCAGGAGGCGGAGGTTGCGGTGAGCCAATATCGCGCCATTGCACTCCAGCCTGGGTAACAAGAGCGAAACTCCGTCTCAAAAAAAAAAAAAAAAAAAAAAGAATCACAGTTATTATTTAAATTTATTTTAAAAGAAAACTTGGTATCAGCCTCATAAATAAAAAAAAGCATTGCTTTCCATAAATTAAAAAAATAATAATAAAATGAACAAACAATAAAGTTACTAAATCCTAGAAACCCAAGAGTCAATCAGGGGGATACCGTGGCTATGACCTTCATTCTCTTCTATCTTCCACTATCAGGAGACAAAAGACAGGGAAGGGAAACTGTAGGGGTCACCTTCTCCCTCTCCCAGCCCACCTTCTAGGTAGGAAAGGGCAATGAATAGATCTGAGGGCAAACAGGCATGGAACCACCATAGAGGCCTGACTCTGAAAATTGGTAATTACAGAAAAGAATTCATCCTCTACTCCTTTCCCATAAAAATTGCATCTCAGTATAATGTTTAAGGATGGCCAGACACAGTGGCTTATGCCCATAATCCCAGCGCTTTGGGAGGCCAAGGCGGGAGGATTGTGTGAGTCTCCGAGTTCAAGACCAGCCTGAGCAACACAGTGAGACCTCCATCTTCACAAAATTTTTTTTTTAAATTAGCCAGGCAAGGGTGGTGTGGTGTGCCTATAGTCCCAGCTGCTTGAAAGGCTGAGGCAGGAGGATTGCTTAAGCCCAGGAGCTGGAGGATGCTGTGAGCTATGATTGAGTCACTGTACTCCAGTCTCGGCAAGAGTAAGACCCTGTCTCAAAAAGAAAAAAAATAAGTTTAAGGATAACCAAATAGCCCTAACTGATGAGCAAAAGCTCCTTTGTGCAAAAGCATGGCAGCCAATAATAAATGTCAAAAAAAAATTAGAAAAATAACCTCTTAGCAACTCCTAATTAAATAACTGACTTAGGCAAGGATGCTAAAACACACCAGTAAAATGTTAATGGGAAACTAGATATATAGGCATGATTTCTAAATATTACTCCATTAGTCACTTGCTCTTACAAAGGGGAAAATATTACTTTCTAATGCTACTTACAAGTTGTAACCTTTACTCAATTTAAGTACTACCAAACAATATTGCCTTCCTTATATGATGCTGTATGAAATATATAAGATCACCTATAAAGAATACTATACAATGGGCATGGTGGCTCGGGCCTGTAATCCTAGTACTTTGGGAGGCCAGGGCAGGAGGATTGCTTGAGTCCAGGAGTTTGAGAGCAGCCTGGGAAACATGGTGAGACTCTATCTCTATAAAAATAAAAAAGTTAATTAGGCATGGTGGCATGCACCTGTGGTCCCAGCTACTTGGGAGGCTGAGGCAGGAGGAGGATTGCTTGAGTTGGGGAGGTCAGGGTTGCAGTGAGCCAGTATCGCACCACTGTACTCTGGCCTGGGCTACCGAGCAAGACCTTACCTCAAAAACAAACAAACAAACAAACAAAAAAAACCAACAATATTCCTCCCCCCAAGTGTTTAACCTGAACCTAATCTATGTCACTTACAAAGTATTCTTTCTCCCCAAAATGTTTAACCTAACCCAGTCAAAGGTTTTAGATGTAATTTCCAGTTGACAGAAACCACGAGTTAGAAGGCAAAAGGCAGCTGGGCACAGTGGCTCACGCCTGTAATCCTAGCACTTTGGGGGGCTGAGGAGGGTGGATCACAAGGTCAAAAGATTGAGACCATCCTGGCAAACACAGTGAAACCCCATCTCTACAAAAAATACAAAAATTAGCTGGGCGTGGGGGTATGTACCTGTAATCCCAGCTACTTAGGAGGCTAAGGCAGGAGAACTGCTTGAACCCAGGAGAATGAGGTTGCAGTGAGCCGAGATGGCACCACTGCACTCCATCCAGCCTGGCGACAGAGTGAGACTCTGTCTCCAAAAGAAAAAAAAAAAAAAAAGGCAAAAGACAAGGAGAGGAAACAAGTCAACATACATGGGATGTTACAGGGCACGGCTCAGGCTCCTCTTTTCAACAAGTCAATGTGAAGAAAAAGAAGGCTGGGGGCGGTGGTGTATGACTGTAATCCCAATACTTTGTGAGGCTGAGGCAGGTGAATCACCTGAGGTCAGGAGTTTGAAACCAGCTTGGCCAATGTGGCAAAACCTTGCCTCTACCAAAAATGCAAAAATTAGTCTGGCATGGTGGCAGGCATCTGTAATCCCAGCTACTTGGGAAGCTGAAGCATGAGAATCACTTGGTCCTGGGAGGCAGAGGTTACAGTGAGCTGAGATCACGCCACTGCACTCCAGGCTGACAGGGCAAGACTCTGTCTCAAAAAAACAAGAAAAAGGGGTGGAGGAAAAATGGGTTCTATTCTAAATTTAGAATATAGAGAGAATTAAATTTAGAGAAAACTAAAAGTCCTAATAACCCAGAGCACAGAGGACTTTTTGGGCAGTGAAACTATTTTGTGAGATTTTATAACGGTGAATATATATTATGCATTTGTCAAAACCCACAGGATGTACAAGAGTGAACCCTAATGTGAACTGTGGATTCTGCACGATACTGATGTGTCAATGTAGTTTCATCCATGGGAACAAATATCACACCTTGTTATAGGATGTTGATGATGAGGGATACTGGAGAGGGGGCAGGGGTCCTAATAACCAAATCCGTAACAGTCCATGGCTTTTTATTGCATCTTAATTTAAAGAAACAGCTGGAGGACAACTGAGAAAGTGTGAATGTGTATTAGATGATAAAAAGGAACTTCTATTAATTTTGTATGTTGGTGAGATATATTGTGGTTATATAGATAAATATTCTGAAATTTTAGAGATGCTTATTTAAGTATTTCAAAGTGAAATATCCTGATATTTGTAATTTACTTTAAAATACTTTTTAAAAAGTAAATATGGCAAAATTACTTAAAGTGTTAACTCTGAGGTTATGGACTGCAAGTTTATGTCTCCCCAAAGTTCCTATGTTGAACCCTAACCCCCAAGGGGATGGTATTATGAGGTGGGCCTTTGGAGGTGACTGGGTTTAGATGAGGTCATGAGGGTACAGCCTGTATGATGGACACAGTGGGACCCTGTCTCCAAAAAAAAAGAGGAAGAGAAGTCTCTACTGAGCTTGCTCTATTTGCTTTGTGAGGATAAAGAGGAAGCTTTCTGCAAACCAAGAAGACTCTCACTAGAATCTGACCATGATAGCACCTTGATCTTGAACTTCCCAACATCCAGAATTGTGAGAAATAAATTTCTGTCATTTAAACCACCCAGTCTACTGCACTTTATATGGCAGTCCAAGCAGTCTAAGACATTAGATAATGGACATATAGACATTCATTAATAGAGAGGACTAAAGAGAATAACTGTATCAATGTTAGTCAGTGTGAGTCCCACCTAAAATATCTCTTCCTTCACTTGTAGAAACACTAGATTAGATTATTCCAATTGCCTCAGTGTTCTTCCACCCTTACCCAATCCAGTCCAATCTCCGGAGGAAAATATGATCACAGCACTAGGATGCACAGCATTCCATCAACCACCTCTGTAATGGGGAAAAGTGTACATTCCATAGTGCAGCATACAAGGCTTTTCAAGATCTGCTCAGACTCCTTGAGCCACTCTTTATATTCTTCACTCATTTAAAACTCAACGACAATCCTACAAGTAGGTGGAATTGTTATTCCCTCTTTACAGATAAGTAAAGGAGAATAAGTAAATAACTTGGCCAAGACCACACACGGCTGGCAAATGGCCCAGCTTAACTTTAAATTTTGACAGTCTGATGTATCTATAAACCAGGTAAATCCATAATCTTAACCACAGTATTATTCTGTGCCGCGTACAGTGTAGGTCTCAATAAATGCTTGCTGGATGAGTAGTACTAAAGAGCTTAGCTCTCCTTTTTCACCTGATCCCAAAAGAGGTGTGAATCCTAACCACCCTGTTTCTCTTAAGAGCCAAGTCAAGTCAGAGCTGATGACTGTCACCGGCAGCCCTCGGGCCCGCATCCAGGACCTGATCCTGGACTCCCAGGGGCCCTCCTGGGAAGACGGGCCAGCCCGGGCCCACTCACCTCGTCCCGGCACTGCTTCTGGCACATCTGGCAATACCAGCGCAGCTTCTGCAGCCCCTTGGACTTGATCCTGTTGGCGATAGCCTTGGGAGTAAGAAAATCCGACTTCCCCATGGCGACCACGGCAGCGATCACTTTCTGGACCCCAGTGCCCAGCCAGCCGGAAATGGAACCGGGCTGGCGGCGGTGGGCGGGACAAATCCCTGCTGAGAGGCGGAAGGAGGTGGGGCCTGGGAAGACTGGGTTACAACGCTCGCGAGACTCTCTTCGCCGTAGCGCGAGGAAATGAGACTGAAGAAGAGAGCGAGGTGGGAGGGGCGTGCTGGGAAGCTTCTGCGCACGCGCGCCGCGGCCTGAGTGACCGACCTTCAGCGGAGCTGCGGCTACCATGTTTTCTCGCGCCGGCGTCTCTGGGCTGTCGGCCTGGACCTTGCAGCCGCAATGGTATGAGAGCTTGCGGGAAGATCGCCAGGACTGCAAGGGATGGGAGAGCTCGGGCACGGGGCAGGGAAGCGGGGATGGGCGCGGGGGTCGATCTGGGGTCGTAGGGCCTGGCTGGGCACTTGGCCCCTCGGAGACGCGGGGTAGCGGGGGCTGCAGGATGCGGCTTTGAAGCTGGCGAGGCGTGCGCAGGGCCGGGCTCCGGCCAAGCCAGGTCCCGCCCCGTCCCCTGAGGCCGGAGGGCCACCGGGGACCTCCAGACTGCGGCCTGAGTCCAAACTGACGTCTGGGCGGCCTCGAGTTCCCTCAGCTAATCAGTACTTCCTGAGCTTCCACTGCGAGCCAGGCCCCCAGTCTCGGGGCCTGCAAGGGAACGGGGGCCTGAGTGACAACCCAGCGGAAGGTTAAGTTGTGCTCTCTGTCCTTGACGCCCCGCGAAGCCCTCCAGCGCTGGGCAGACTGATCCTTTAAGATCCGAGCGAGTCACAGAGCTGGCCGTCGAGCACCTCCCGTGTTGCAGGTGCTTTGCTGGGTGCTAGAACGGCGAAGGCGAGCATCCTCGATGCCCCTGAGGGTGGTCTTGGTGCAGAAGGGACCCTACAGATCTGTCTGATGGCGGGGAAGGGAAGGACACCTAGCACTACCTTGAAACCACTTGCTGAAACCGTAACCCTGCAAGGTCATGAAATTGCCCCAAGGTTTTAGGTGAAGGAGTTCGGTGGGCTTTAAGTGGCATTTGTTAACTGCTATGCAGCCAAAGGGTGCCACGCGTCTCGAAAATTTTAAACATTAGTTCCGGGTGGGGGGACCTTGGTTGGGGGAAATGCGTATTAGAAAACCTGGAAGCCAGCAGGTAAAAGTTGGTTTGTGAGTGGTGCTGTTCAGTTTTGAAGCTTGACAGAATCTGGAAGAATTTCAGACACTGCCAAGAGGATTAGAGGCTGTGTGGTAGCAATTCCCTGCTGTTAACAGTATGGAGGATTTCTAAGGTGCAACAGTGCTAAACTAGATTTTTGTATCTTAATTTATGTGAAGGGACCATAAAGCATTAGTTGAAATAAATACATTTGTCATTAGGCAGATAACTGATAGTTAATATAGGAAATTTTCAGAATGAAATCTGTTGTGAATTAGCCATATGAAAATTTTGGTGGCTTGGCCTTGGAAGTCAGATCTTTTTCTTCTCTCTAATATGGAAAAATAACATTCATGGGAATTAAAAGGTCACTGTAGTTGAATTATCAGTTGTATAGACTGTCCCACTTGTTAACTGACCACTCAGCAGCCATTAGCTGAGTGCCTGCACTGCGCCCGGTGGTACTGTGGAAAGTGCCAAAACGTGATGGTGAACAAACAGATGAGGTCTCAGTGAGCTTCCTGGGACGGCGCCTGTCATGCAGTAGTGCTCTGTGAACATCAGCCCTCCTGTCCTTACCCTCTTGCCAGGCATTCATGTTATCTGTCAGTATTTTTAGAACCTTTGTTTCTAAGTTGATCTTTAAAAAAAATGGAAAGAGTTTCTGAAACTAAGACAGAATATTTCACAAAAAATTTTAGAAATACCTTTTTTAAAAGCACCTGTAAGATCATTTGAAGTTCTTTTAGTAAAGGATCATTTTAAATAAGAGCTCTCTGTTGGAGACAACTACTGTTTGGAGCTTAAATCAGAACTTCAATCAGCATATAAAGGTCCTAGTCCTGGCCTTAATCCCGTTGGAATATTGCTTTTAAATCATCAGTCATCAGTCGACAGTGTTCCACTTTAAAAGCATAGTCTGTCCTCTTCCTTTTCACGCATTCTATCACTCTTGCTGCTTAATGTCTCTCCTGCCTCTTCTGCCATTTCTCTTCCCATTAATTACCTTTCGAATTCAAAAATTAAAACCACTCCACATAACTAATTTGGAAGGGGGAAAAATATCTTTGCCTTAAGCATGAAGAGGTATATTTCCACGGTTCTGTTTTGATTACTGGAAGTTTTTAAAAGTACCATTTGTTATTGTTTTAGTTTTTGTTTTCAGAGAGGTTATCATACTAACGTAAACTAATCATTAGGCTTACTTAATTTCACAGTGGTTATTTTAATAGCTGCTAGGGTATCGCCAAAATACCCTAACTTTTTGAAAATTAAACTTTTTCATAAAGTAGCATTTAAGAAAACGGAAATAAAAAAAATCAAGAGAAAGAGTCCCAGATTTTACTGTCTTCAAATCTGGGAAAAACACATTTCTATTTCTTAGTGTTCAGAAGTCTCTGAAATGGAACTGCTTTATAGTAATGTGTCAGTAGTCATAAACCATATACACTGAAAAGGAGATGGCATTTCAGGAGAGAAAAGACAGATTGTCATCTGAGACCATGAGGGCAGATATTTACTAGTAAATGTAAAAAATGTGAGGCAGCAGAGTGTAGTACTGTATAAAGACAGAGACTCTGTAGCCAGCCCTCAAGGGCTCCATTCCGATAGCAGGGATTGAATTCTGATTGCCACTTAGCCGCTCTGTAACCTTGGGTGGGTTACTTAGTGCCTGTCCCACCAGTTCCTCATCTATCAAATAGATGCAATAAAAGTACACGATTCCTTGGGTTAGTGTGAGGATTAGAGTATTTGCAAAGCATGTAGGGCTGTGGGAGAGCCAAACGCTGTATCAGTAGAAAAATGCAGTGTTTTTAAGTATAGTTTCTACATCAAATATAATGTCAGAAGATTGCTTGGACTTGCCAAAAGAGGAAAAGAGGATGCAGTCATGGGTGTGGGTTGGAGAAGTGTGATGGAGTCAGTTTTTGCTGGTGACAGGTGATGGGCTTTTACACATTTACTATCAAGAGTTAGAGGTACTTCATAATTTTCTTTTCCTTGAGATTTAGCCAGTGTTGCTTCTTTTTTGTTTGTTTGTTTGTTTGCTTAAGACAGAGTCTCTCTCTGCTGCCCAGGCCAGAGTGCAGTGGCACCGACCTCAGCTCACTGCAATCTCCACCTCTTGGGTTCAAGCAATTCTCCTGCGTCAGCCTCCTGAGTAGCTGGGATTATAGGTGCCTGCCACTGCATGCGGCTAAGTTTTTGTAATTTTTATTAGAGACAGGGTTTCACCATGTTGGCCAGGCCGATCCTGAGCTCTTGACCTTGTGATCCACCCGCCTCGGACTCCCAAAGTGCTGGGATTACAGGTGTGAGCCACCACACTCGGCCAATGTTTCCTTTTTAAGTTTTTATATATCTTAATATGCTTCTTAAAAATCTTCAAAGTTTTTTTGAAGGGTGTCATTCCTGACTCCCTCCTCTACTGCCTTCGTCAGCTATTCTAACAGTGCTGTGTGATCATGGTTAGATAGTGGGAATCCATAGTCCATTTGATTCTTTCTCCATTGAGTTTCTTAGTCTTCTGAGGATTTCTCAGGACATGTAATGATTCAGCGCTTTATCACCTCATTTGCAAAACAAAACAAAACAAAACAAAACCTTTTTTTTTTTTTTTTTTTTTTTTTTTGAGATGGAGTTTCATTCTTGTTGCCCAGGCTGGAGTGTAATGGCGCAATCTCGGCTCACCACAACCTCTGCCTCCCAGGTTCAAGCGATTTTCCTGCCTCGGCCTCCTGAGTAGCTGGGATTACAGTCATGTGCCACCTTGCCTGGCTAATTTTTTGTATTTTTAGTAGAGACGGGGTTTCACCGTGTTAGCCAGGATGGTCTTGATCTCCTGACCTCAGGTGATCCGCTCGCCTCGGCCTCCCAAAGTGCTGGGATTACAGGGGTGAGTCACCGTGCCTGGCCACAAAAATGTTATATTTAATAAAGGTAGCTATCTTTAAAAGAGTTCAATTATCTTATCACTGTTCTTACTCAAATTATACCTAAAAATTAAAGTAGCAACATAGACATCTTCAGAACTAAATGAAAGTTTTAAAACACACGAAATTAGGGCAAGTGCATAGCATAATCACAAAAGATGCTACCTCTTCATACCTCTGGCTTGGAGTACTTAAGGAAACCAAAACCTTCTGTGTTTGTCCAAATATGGTATGCAATTCAAATTTGTTCCATATGGTATTCTCTGACTAGAAACTTATGTCAGTTAAATTGAAGTGTTTGTCTAAAACCATAATATCCAAGTGTGACTTGTTATAGCCAATAAATTTTGTCTTCAGGGGGAAAAGTCATTACTACACCAAAAAAGGAAGGTTGGCCAAAAACTGGTGTTACTTTTCAAGTACGATTATGAAAAGCTGTTGCTAGCAGAATAGTCATGGCAGGTAGTTTGTGCTCTGAAATAACAGAGCTTGTCAGTATTTGCCAGCTTTTATCTTTTCCTTTAGTAGATCCATTCTTAAAACCAAACCTAATATTTTTTGTGCTGAGATGAAAGAATCACCTGAGCCCAGGAAGTGGAGACTGCAGGGCTCCCTGATCACGCCGCTGCACTCTAGCCTAGGTGATGGGAGTGTGACCCTGTCTCAAACCCCAAAACACAATGGTCCACTCTTTCTGTTATACAGTTCTATAGATTTTAACAAATACGTAATGGCATGTATCCATCATTACAATATCATACCAAAGAGCTTTACCACGCTAAAAATCTCCTCTACTCTCCCCAAAACCCTGACCACCACTTCTCAACTATTGCTATGTCCTCGGCTTTTCTGGTATGTCATACATGCAGAATCGTATAGGATTTAGTCTTTTTTCAGACTGCCTTCTCTCTCTTAGCAGTATGCACTTACGTTTTCTCCATGCCTTTTTATGACTTAATAGCTCCTTTGTGGT